AATGACCACTCGTGCACGAATTGGCATTTTTAAACCTAAGCTCTACTCCACCTCCTTCACCACTTCCCCACCTACTACCGAGCATGTTACCTACAAAGAAGCCTCCCAAAACAGTTATTGGTGCCAGGCTATGGATGACGAATATAAAGCCCTGCTTGATCAGCACACATAGGAGCTTGTTCCGGCACCTCCAGACCGGTTTCCTATTGGATGTAAGTGGATTTATAAAATTAAGCATAATGTTGATGGTTCTGTTTCCAGGTACAAGGCCCGTCTTGTGGCCAAAGGTTATACACAGGAATATGGTTTGGACTACTCTGAGACCTTTAGCCCTGTGGTCAAACAGCAGACTATTCGAGTGGTTCTCTCTCTAGCAGTCAGTCAGAACTGGCCCCTTCACCAATTGGATGTCTCTAATGCCTTTCTTCATGGTGTCATTCCAGATGAAATGTATATGAAGCAGCCTCTAGGGTATATCGATCAACAGTATCCTCATTATGTGTGCAAACTGAGGAAATCTCTTTATGGGTTGAAGCAGGCGCCACGGGCTTGGTACCAACGTCTCTCTGGGTTCCTTGTTGACTATGGCTTTGAAAAAAATGAACATGACACAAGCTTCTTTGTCAAGCACTCTCCCTCCGGCATCCTCATTGTTCTTCTTTATGTTGATGATATTATTGTCACTGGGAGTGCCTCTTCTCTTATTTCCTCATTTATTCAAGCCATGCAAACGGAATTTCAGATGAAGAATCTTGGTCCTCTTCATTATTTTCTTGGGCTTGAGGTGACACGCAAACAGGGCTAGCTGATTCTATCCCTGGAAAAATATGCCCGTGAACTCCTCCATAAGGCGGGAGTCAAAGACTGCAAACCGGCACCCACACCCCTACCCGTACGGCAGTCCGAGGAGGGGGGACGCCGCCCATTTGAGAATCCCACTTTCTTCCGCAGCTTGGTTGGCTCTCTTTAATATTTGAAAAATACGTGCCCGGATATTCAGTTTGCTGTCAACTATGTTTGTCAAAGGATGCATGCACCTACTGAGCAGGATTTTCAATCTTTAAAACGCATCCTCCGCTATGTCAAGGGGACCATTGACCATGGTTTAATTTTTCGGCGTGGCTCACAAACCATCCAAGCATACTCTGATTCGGACTGAGCCAATGATATGACAGATGGACGGTCTGTTACAGGTTATTTGATATATCTTGGGCCTAATTTAATCTCTTGGAGTACGGAAAAACAGAGTCGTGTCTCTCGCTCATCCACCGAGGCCGAGTACAGGGCCCTCTCGGCCGCAGCAGCTGAGGTGATGTGGATCACTTATTTGTTTGACATTTTGCGGATTAAGCTACCTCCTCCGCACCTCCTCTGCGACAACCAGTCCACCATCTGCCTAACCAAGAATCCAGTATTCCATAAACGCATGAAGCATGTCGGCACCGGCTGTCACTTTGTACGCGAACAAGTAATTGCCGAAAAATGACAGTCTCCTATGTTCCTTCCAATGAGCAGTTAGCGGATCTTCTCACAAAGGCTCTTTCTTCACCACGCTACTCCGCTCTGGTTGCCAAGCTTCCTCTCGTTTCACGACGTTCAGCTTGAGGGGGGATGTTAGGCATATATGGCAAGAAGTGTAGTTATGGTAGAAGTGTTATTTATGTTAGTTTACATATTTGGTGAATCCTAATTCATGTAGGGATCCTCACCTATATAAACACCCATGTATATAATTATTCAGTTGAGTTGGATTATTAAATCAACACCCATTACACTCTCAACGCATACTCTCACACTACACTGTCATTATACTCCTGTTTTAATCTTAAAAGACTTGGGATTCCTATTTTGGTATTTTTTTACTTGTATCCAGGGTATTTCTTTTTTTTCAATTTTAACTTGAATGGTCCATTTTTAGAATTTTTTATTACAAATTTTGGAAAAAATATATTAAGTTATGATATACTTCCTCTGTCCCATAATGTTTTATTCATTTTGATCAAGGTGCAAAACACCGGATTTTTAAAATGATTTTATTTACAAATTGGTAAAGAAATACAATCGTAATAGTAAGAATAATGATAATAATAACAATAATAATAAAAATAACAATCGTAATATTCATAATAGTAAAACTAATAATAATAATAATAATAATAATAATAATAATAATAATAATAATAATAACAACAACAATAATAATGATGATGATGATTATAATAATTAGCATAATACTGATGCTAATAATAATGATCATAAGATTAATACATACTAATAATAATAGTAATAATAATAGTATTATAGTAATTGTAATAGTGATAATAAAAATAAAAATAATTAATCATAATCATAATAGTTTTAATTATGATATCATTTGCTTACTAGTTAGCTTCTATTATTTGATTGATTTTTACTTGTGTTAGGACTCACTCTCATGTATCCTTCTTTTTTTAGTATTGTTTACCCGATTATAATACAATATTTGTTTATACTTTTCTTTCATTTATATTTTCTTAAGTAACGTCTATTTTGTTCATAACTATCTATATGCAAGTTATTTTTTGATAAATAATATACCGTTGGAAATCTTTTCACAAAATCTACATACCGAACGGCAACAATATAACATACTTCGTGTTAAATATATTTTATATTTAATGTAAATATATTGTTTCCTATTATTGTCTCCTACCTTGTATAGGATTAGGAATATATTGTTTCCTATTATTGTCTCCTACCTTGTATAGGATTAGGAATCCTTGTGTATATATAGACATGTACTCCCACATATTCAATCAATGAAATTAACCTTTCTACATGGTATCGGAGCCTAAAAATCAAAAACCCTAAACCCCCCTCTCTCTCTCGTTCAGCGCCGAACCCCCCACGGCAGCTCTCTTCACCGGCGACACCCTCTCCCCCTCGGCGGTCTTCTTCTTCCCCTCACCAAGGCCGAAAACAGCGAGGTTACTTCCCAAAATAACTCCTCCAAACCTCCTCATCTTGCTTTCACAACAATCTCAAATGTGAAACTTCATGTCCCCGTTCAACTCAGTCTCTCCCAACCTAATTACAAAAAGTGGAGCCGACTCTTCCTTCTTCTGGTTCGGCGGTTCAACCTCAAAGGCTACATCGATGGCTCTGTCGTCCCCCTCTCCGATGACGACGACAAATGGTTCCAACTCGACGCTCTCCTCCAGGGTTGGATCCTCTCCACCATCACCGATGAGGTCTCAGATCTGGTCATCTCCTCTGTTTCTACTGCCTCTGCTCTCTAGAAAGTCATCCACGACTTGTTCCACGACAACAAACATGCCCGGGCTATGCTATTGGAGCATGAATTCCGCACGACGGTCAAGGGCAACTCCACCATGGCAGCCTATTGCCAACAACTGCAGAATCTTGCCGACTGGTTAGATGATGTTGATGCACCAGTCTCCCAACACCAACTCGTCCTTCAAATGCTTCGTGGTCTCCCTTCC